GATCTGCACATGTACTCCAGAACTTAAAATATAGTTACAAAAAAAAGTAAATATTGAAAGTTACAGGGGTGGTGATTTAACATTCTTAAAACAAATAATTTTGAACCCAGAATTTCATACCCAGCCAAACTAAGTTTCATAAGTGAAGAATAAATAGAATCCTTTACAGACAAAAAAATGCTGAGGGAATTTGTCACCACCAGGCCTGTCTTACAAGAGCTCCTGAAGGAAGCACTAAATATGGAAAGGAAAAACCTGTACCATCCACTGCAAAAACAATGCAAAATGTAAAGACCATTGACATTATGAAGAAACTACCTCAACTAATGGGCAAAATAACCAGCTAGCATCAGAATGACAGGATGAAATTCACCTATAACAATATTAATCTTAAATTTAAATGGTCTAAATGCCCCAATTAAAAGGTACAGACTGGCAAATTGGATAGTCAAGACCCATTGGTGTGCTGTATTCAGGAGACATATATCATGTACAAAGACACATATTGGCTCAAAATAAAGGAATGGAAGAATATTTACCAAGAAAATGGAAAGAAAAAAAAAGCAGTGATTGCAATCCTGGTCTGTGATAAAAAGCATTTTAAACCAACACACATCAGAAAAGGCAAAGAGGGGCATTACATAATGGTAAAGAGATCAATGCAACAAGAAGAGCTAACTATCCTAAATATATATGTGCCCAATACAGGAGCACTCAGATTCATAAAGCAAGTTCTCAGAGACATAAGCTCCCACACAATAATAGTGAGAGAATATAACACCACACTGTCAATATTATATAGATCAATGAGACAGAAAATTAACAAGGATATTTAGAACTTGAACTCAGCTCTGGACCAAGCAGACCTAATAGACATCTCCAGAACTCCCCACACCAAATCCACAGAATATACATTCTTCTCAGCAACATGTAGCACTTATTCAAAATTGGACATAATTGGAAGTAAAACACTCCTTAATAAATGCAAAAGAATGGAAATTATAACAACCATCTCTCAGACCACAGTGCAATCAAATTAGAACTCAGGATTAAGGAACTCACTCAAAACTGCACAACTACATGGAAACTGAACAACCTGCTCCTCAATGACTACTGGGCAAATAATGAAATTAAGGCAGAAATAAATAAATTATTTGAAACCAATGATATCAAAGACAAGACCTAACAAAATCTCTGGGACACCACTAAAGCAGTGTTTAAAGAAAAATTTATAGCACTAACAGTCCATAGGAGAAAGAGGGAAAGATCTAAAATTGACTCCCTACCTTCACAATGAAAATAACTAGAGAAGCAAGAGCAAACAAATTCAAAAGCTAGCAGAAGAAAAGAAATAACTAAGATCAGCACAGACTGAGGTAGATACATGAAAAACCCTTCAAAAAATCAATGAATCCAGGAGCTGTTTTTTTGAAAAGATTAACAAAACAGCCTGATAGCCAGAACAATAAAGGAGAAAAGAAAGAAGAATCAAATAGACACAATAAAAAATAATAAAGAGGAGATCACCACTGATTCCACATAAACACAAACTACCACCCAAGAATACTATACATACCTCTACCCAATTAAATGAGAAAATCTAGAAGAAATGGATAAATTCCTGGACACATACACCCTCCCAAGACTAAACCAGGAAGAAGTCAAATCCCTGAATAGACCAATAACAAGTTCTGAAATTAAGGCAGTAATTAATACCCTACCAACCAAAAAGAGTCCAGGACCAGACAGATGCACGGACAAATTCTGTAAGGGGTACAAAGACAAGTTGGTACCATTGCTTCTGAAACTATTCCAAACAATAGAAAAATAGTGACTCTTCCCTAACTCATTTTATGAGGCCAGCGTCATCCTGATACCAAAACCTGGCAGAAACACAACAAAAAAAGAGAATTTCAAGCCAATTACCCTGATGAACATCAGTGCAAAAATCCTCAAAAAAATACTGACAAACTGAATCCAGCCGCACATTAAACAGCTTATCCACCATGATCAAGTCAGCTTCATCCCCGGGATGCAAGACTGGTTCAACATATACAAATCAATAAACATAATCCATCACATAAACAGAACCAATGACAAAAACCACATGATAATCTCAATAGATGCAGAAAAGGCCTTTGATAAAATTCAATGCCTCTTTATACTAAAAACACTCAGTAAAACAGGTATTCATGAAACATATCTCAAAATAATAAGAGCTGTTCATGACAAACCCACAGTAAATATCATACTAAATGGGTAACAGCTGGAAGCATTCCCTTTGAAAAATGGCACAAGACAAGGATGCCCTCACTCACTACTCTTAACATGGTATTGGAAGTTCTGGCCAGGGCAATCAGGCAACGGAAAGAAATAAAGAGTATTCAAATAGATAGAGAAGAAATCAAATTGTCTCTGATTGCAGAAAACATTATTATATATTTAGAAAACCCTATTGTCTCAGCCCCAAATCTCCTTAAGCTGATAAGCAACTTGAGCAGTGTTAGTATACAAAATCAATGTGCAAATATCACAAGCATTCCTATACATCAATAATAGACAAACAGAGAGCCAAATCCGGAGTGAACTCCCATTCACAATTGCTACAAAGAGAATAAAGTACCTAGGAACACAGCTTACAAGGGATTTGAAGAACCCCTTCGAGGAGAACTACAAGGCTCTGCTCAAGAAAATAAGAGAAGATACAAACAAATGAAAAAGCATTTTATGTTCATGGATAGAAAGAATCAATATTGTAAAAATGGTCATACTGCCCAAAGTAAATTATAGATTCAACACTATTCCCATCAAGTCCCCATTTAAATTAGAAAAACCTACTTTAAATTTCACATGGAACCAAAAAAGAGCCCATATAGCCAAGACAACTCTAAGCGAAAAGAACATATCTGGAGGCATCATATTACCTGACTTCAAACTATAATACAAGGCTACAGTAACCAAAAGAGCATGGTACTAGTACTAAAACAGATATATAGACCCATGGAAAGGAACAGATGCCTCAGAAGTAATACATCTACAACCATCTGATCTTTGCCAAACTTGACAAAAACAAGCAATTGGGAAAATGATTCCCTATTTAATAAATGGTGCTGGGAAAACTGGCTAGTCATATGCAGAAAAGTAAAACTGGACCCCTTGCTTACACCTTATACAAAAATTAACGAAGATAGATTAAAGATTTAAACACAAGACTTAAAACCATAAAAACCCTAGAAGAAAATCTAGGTAATACCATTCAGAACATAGGCATGGGCAAAGAATTCATGATTAACACCAAAACCAATGGCAACAAAAGCCAAAATTGACGAATTGGTTCTAATTAAACTAAAAAGCTTATGTACAACAAAAGAAACTATCAACAGATTGAACAGGCAACCTACAGAAGGGAAGAAAATTTTTGCAATCTATCTATCTGACAAAGGGCTAATACCTAGAATCTACAAGGAACATAAACAAAAAAAAAAAAAAAAACAACCCCTTCGAAATGTAGGTGAAGGATATAAACAGACACTTTTCAAAAGAAGACATTTATGCAGCCAACAGACATGAAAAATAGCTCATCATCATTAGGTATTTGAGAAATGCAAATCAAAACCACAATGAGATAACATTTCAAGCCAGTTAGAATAGAGATCATTAAACAGTCAGGAAACAGATGCTGGTGAGTATGTTGAGAAATAGGAACATTTTTACACTGTTGATGGGAATATAAATTAGTTCAACCATTGTGGAAGACAGTGTGGCGATTCCTCAAGGATCTGGAACTAGAAATATCATATGACCCAGCAATCTCATTACAGTGTATATACCCAAATGATTATAACTCATTCTATTATAAAGAAACATCCACATGTATATTTATTACAGTACTATTCACAATAGCAAAGATTTGAAACTAACCCATATGCCCATCAATGTTAGACTGGATAAAGAAAATGTGGCACATGCACACCATGAAATACTATGCAGTCATAAAAAAGAATGAGTTCATGTCCTTTGCAGGGACATGGATGATGCTGGAAACCATCATTCTCAGCAAACAAACACAGAAACAGAAAACAAAACACCGCATGTTCTCATTCATAAGTAGGAGTTGAAAAATGAGAACATATGGTCACAGGGATCAAACATCACATGTGAGATCTCTCTCTCCAGCCCCCCACACCTCTCTTTCTCTACCTATATATATATATATGGCAGATGCCATATTTAGTCATTTCTAGAAAGGCAAAATTAAATATCTCAAAATGTATATAAAATTATTCAAATTCATTTTATCATAAGAATGCAGGGAGACTACGAAATGATACAATTCTACACAAAGCCTAAAATATTCTAATAATGCCTATAAAAACAGTTTTTCACTGTTTTTAAGAGTGCAGAAATTGTATTTTCCAAATGAAATTAAAAAATAATTGTGATTTAGTAAATGTGGCAATGTTTACACAATAATTCAACAAGTCTATTTCTAGGTATGTAACCTAGGATAGTACTAGTGCTTGTGTACTTAGAGAAATATTTGAAAACTTTAATGTCATTGTAGGTAAGACAAAGGAAGTAAATAGCCCAAATATCTATAACCAGTAGAATGATAGATAAATGTTGGCATATATTGAAGATGAAATATTCTATAAAATGAGCAACAGATACATGCATCAACAGGAATTACAAATATTATGTTCAACATTTTCAGGAGACTATACACAATATTATTTTACCTATTTAACATGGAAACTAAAGAGCATTTTATTCAGGCATACATACAAACAAAATTATAAACTAATGGCAAGGGTGGTGAATAAAAATCTGAGAATTTTGACATAATTGATTGGGTGATTGAAATGAAGATGTACTGGTACAAGCACAAATGTATCAGTAGTGATCAGTTACCTTAGTTACATAATAGGCACATATGTGCTCATTTTATTATTTGTTGAATTTCACATATCAAATAAATTTAATCAAAAGTAGCTTCTAACCTGTTTGTCAGATCCACACATGTTCCATTATTTTTGCAAGGTTCAGAGGAGCATTCATTAATTTCAATTTCACATAAAGATCCAGAAAACCCAGGTCTGCAAATACACCTTTTAAACATAAAATTTAGTAACTCCATTAGTATAGATGTATAAAATCAATGCTTAAATGAATTACAGCATGGCAAGTTTTCAGTAAGCATAAACGTTGCTTAATTTATCTATTAAAATTCTATACCTAGAATTATCTAGACATATAAACACGTATCTAGATACTTTTTAGTTTTCTGTACCTGAAATTGTTGACCATAGCTTCACAGTCACCATAACCCTGGCAGGGAAGGAAGGGGCAGTCATTCACATCAATTTCACAGTGTTTACCTTCAAATTCTGCAAAGAGTATGAGATAAGTACGGATGAGCAATTCTTATGAAGTAAAAAACATCAGAATCAATGGTAGTCTAAAGAATACGCTCATAATGGAGGTTAAAAAAAGAAAAAGAAAATAATCTCAAGCTTCTCATAAAACTCCATTTCACATAATGTGTGCATAAAAAAATGCCAGTTTCTTGATTAATTAGTTCAAATGAAAGAATCAAGGGAGCAATACTTTACTAAATCCCCTGAGAAGGTAGAGATGTTGCTAATGTTGCTGTTGTTTTAAGGTATTTAAATGTTTGAATAGGAAAAATTGAAATGATCTGGAAAGCAAATGAATTAATGTGATGACCAATCTCAAAGTAAAATGGAGCTTCAATGATCAAATTTATTCAAGGCAGTTAGCAGATGAGGCAAATTACTTAATTGCTTTTTATATCCAAGTGATTCAAAGAAAACAAATTATTTTGATTCATAGCTACATAATCAGTCATCCATTTAAACACAGGCTGATATTTTAAAAATGAACATAAAAGAAAATTTTACAGGCTGGTAAAAGAGGCAGTTGTACGTATTCCAACAGATTTGTGTCAGAAAAAACCTGCATTATATCACTTTTTAAAATACAATTAAATATATTAGTATTTATAGTAACCAGTTAAACAACTATATGGTTATATATTAACCATAATAAAATATATGCTTAAAACCATTTTTCTTGTTAATTTCTTTTTCTGTACCAGTTCAAAAACATAGGAAACAAGAGTTCCATTTCTTCTGCTTTTTCAGTGATATTACCAAGTACTAAATAAATGCAGCAACATGATACAATATTATAAATGTCAATATGCAGTCAGACTAATTTAGTTTGAGGACCAAAGGGTCATTTGAGTTAATTTAAGAAAACTATATTCACTGTTTGCATACACAGACTGGAATTGGGACTGAGAAGCATTAAAAGGGAAACAAAGTCTAGCTACCCAGGAATGGCTGACTTCCTTTCATAGTACCTGTCCTTTATCCTTCTCCTATCACTTTTTCTTCTCTTTCTATCACAAATATTTCAGCATGTTCAGTTTCAAATCACTTGCAATGTTGGCATGCGAGTGACAAAATACAGCGTCATTGGTCTCTATGTATATATTATGACATTTCATCTACAACACCTATTGTTCAATGAAAAATTCTCTCGGTATTTTCTCACTCGGATTCCCACAATAGAACAAGGAATTGACTGCCCTAATTCATCTTTTCACATCATACCATGCCACAGCCATTGCCATTCTCTGTGGTATCTACCATTGGATCAAGCTGCAAACTTGCCTCTCGATGCAATTTAACAGGGAGATTGGTGTTATATCTTACAAAATCTGGCAGCCTCTTTGGTAGGATATGATATGGAAAACAAAAATTACTTACTCCAAAAGAAAACAAAAAAGAAAAATAAACAAAGTACAGATACAACAAATAGAAAACAAATAGCTAAATGGTGTATTTAAAGCCACACAAATAAAAAATTACATTAAATATGATTTTAAAAACTCCAATTAAAAGGTAGACACAAACTAAATAACAGAAGAAACCACATAATATCTAAAAGAAATTTATTTAAAACAGAATGATAGGTTAACATTTAAAAGATGGAATGATTATATACTATGAAACACTAATTGTAAGAAAGCTGGGGTGCTTATGTGTCTAGCAGGCCAAGTGGTTTTCGTGTCAAGCAATATTTTTAATTTTCCTTATTTTTCTTACTCAATTCTCAGAGCCTGCAAATGAATCTCTGAAGTTACATTTCTGTAATTCATTCATATGATAGATGTTACATCGTCAGTATTAGAAACAAAATTAAATGAGTTACCTCCAAGTTAATAGGCTCTCCTCACTTTAGGTGAGAAAACTAATTGTTCCAACATGCTTCATCATTCTTGGATCACCATTGCTATTTTCTATATTTAGGTTGTAAGTGTCACAGTGCAGTTATAAACAACTTGGATTCTATTTGCAAAAGATGTTTAATTCTTTAAATATTTGATTGTAGTTTGATTTTTCACAAGTTAAAAATTTAGAAAGTTGGATCCATTTCACCATTCCTACTTTAAGCCTGGTTAGTTTTCTCTGGAAGGAGGGCATTTTGACACTGAAATGACTCTTAAAAATGTTCTGTTAAGGCAGTGGAACTCAGGGGCAGTGACTGGCTATAAAGAAATGCCAGCAAGCCTCCATGATTTCAGCTGTGCTGATGAATCAGAACACTCAGGGAGCAGGACCTTGGATAGCTCACAGGATAACCTTGTTTCCCGTGATTTTGCTGTATTCATTAAGTTTGACATTTCTGAGATGGAGTTTTATTACCAACCAGCAACATATGTCAATGGGTTGAGGAAATGAGATTGCTAAAATGCAGTAGATATCGGCAGAAAAAAAAAGTATATGTGGATTGCATTCAAAATTAACCAAAGCTTTGCTGAGAGAGCTTACGTTTTAAGGATTTTATGAGTGAAATGTATATACAGTCATGAGCTGCATAAGAACATTTTGGTTAATGACAGACAACATTTCTAATGACAATGATCTATAAGATTATAATGGACATATAAATGCAGCAGGCTATATCATCTCGGTTTGTGTCAGTACACTCTAAGTAGTTCATACAACAAAATTGCCTAGTGATACATTTTTCAGGATATCCCCTTTTGTAAGCAATGCATGACTGTGTACTTAATCCCAAACTGCATATTCTATAATTCTTGGTGTTAGAAGTTGATGTTCATTTCTGTGAAGGGTACCCGTTTTGAATATATGAAGTTACAGCTAAAAGACGATTCAAACAGAAAGTTTACTGAAATAATTTTATTCTGTTCCCCTGTTCTTTATTCCTACTCAGCACTATCTAGTTGACTCTATTTTGATAATTGCAGTGAGTTCCTTACATGCATAACAGTGAAGCATTTTCAAATGGATACTGTCTTGATCCTTTTCTTACACTGTCTCATCTGTGTATTGCTATAACAAATACACATGAACGGTTAGTAAATGACATTATCTGTATGCTTCTTCACTCGCTCCTCCAAAATATACGAAATTAAATTTTAAAGCCTACTGTTCAAATTTAAGATCTAAACCCATCTGGATTGTAGGTATTATTTTAAAAATCATTTAATTTTTTTTTCTAACAAATTCAGGCTTTTTGCACTTTGTGCTCTAGAAGGTATTAAATGGAACACAGTACATTAACATCAGTGAAATTTTTATAAAAACATTTTACATAGCATTTTATCTTTCAGGTCTATATTTTAACAACGTTCACTTTGGAATTGGTATTAGTTGGAGTAATTTGAAATGAATGTGAACAGAAAAAAAAAACTAGTGTATATCATAGCATGAATTCAAACAAGGCAGTTAAAAATCATATATTCTTAAATAAAAACTAGAACTCTTAATGTTGTTTTTCTTTCAAAAGTATTATTTCTATTTGTTCTTGATTAAATAATCTAATTTTTCTGAATTTAAAAGCTTGATAAAAAGAAAACAATAAAAGATCTCAGGCCGGGCGCCGTGGCTCAAGCCTGTAATCCCAGCACTTTGGGAGGCCGAGGCGGGTGGATCATGACGTCAAGAGATAGAGACCATCCTGGTCAACATGGTGAAACCCCGTCTCTACTAAAAATACAAAAAATTAGCTGGGCATGGTGGTGCATGACTGTAATCCCAGCTACTCAGGAGGTTGAGGCAGGAGAATTGCCTGAACCCAGGAGGCGGAGGTTGCGGTGAGCCGAGATCGCGCCATTGCACTCCAGCCTGGGTAAC